CATTTTTGTCGGTCTTAAAACACAGTTTTTACATGAAGCCGTATTCACTGTAACGAATTAAACTGACGAACAATTTAATATTTTTGATATTAACAAGCATCTATAAGAATCCCCCTTCCTCCAAACCTATAAAGAATTTATTGTGAAAAGTATTACCTCAGAAATCGAATCTGGATCTTCCTAACTTTGCCGGAGAGACGTCCTACCATTCGACTATCGAGACATATGATATTTTTCGCAATAACAATATATATATAAATAATGCGTAAAGCATATTTTTTAAGCACCATGAAAATTGAATAAATTTAAATTGAAAGGAATTATTCACATCCGTGTCGGCTCGCATTGGCATTATTTCATTATTTCCGATTTATTCTTGGGAACCTAATTCCTTTCAATTTAAATTTATTTGATTTCCATAAATAAATTTATGTATTATTGTTAATAATATAATACATAAATTGCTTTTTTTCTTACTTAAGCCTCAATTATATTTATAATTAGTGAGAATTCTAAGCAGAATTGATCAACTAGTAGTATTTAAGGTTATTCTTAGCTTTGGCGACATAATTCTAATTGGAGTTTATTAACGTAATCAGAGTTTATTAAAGTAGGCACGCAGCTAGATGAGCTTCGACCGGATTAAATATAAAGAAGCATAGAAACAAAAAAGTGAAGAACAAAAACAAAACTATAATTAATTTCATAATATTAATTTTTTATTGGCACTCATAATAATACGTAAATACGTAGCCAATAGATAGAACACAAATTAAGTTCTTTAGTGCCACTGATGTGGATATAGGATATCTGACATATTTTTATACTTTATATGTGCTATAACTTTTTCATTAATAAAATATATTTTTTTGGTTACCATTATATCATATTAATGTCTGATGTTTTAGCTTACAAAAAAATTGTTTTATGTTTCTTTTTATATAATGTTTTAATACAATATTTTATTAACACAATATCCAGTGTGTTCATGTTACTCACGTGATAAAACGTATCATTTGACACCAAAAGGTTAAGAATATATTAAATTTATAAAAATTTTATCTTAAATCGTTTTTTCGTAATTACTTCCGTCAGCTCGAAAACATATCACATTCAATCGCCACTTGGAAGCATTAAAATACATTTTTATATAAATAAAAAATATTTTTTTTTGCTGTTCAAATAATATATATAAGTTTATGCAAAAACCCACGTTTTACTGTATATAATAGATTTCCTTTAAAAAATTTATGAAAAAGGACTAATTTTACGGTCGACAAAGATGAAACCCCTTTTTAATACGTATTTCTCGCGAATTATCTGGAATATTTTCGGCTCATGTAGCTGGAGTAGCGGCGATGCAATCACCACATCGCGTTGTTAATGACTTTCTCGCGCATAGCTAATCAATCCATAGGAACTTACCTCAAATTATTGATAACAGCAGCCTTTGGCATTCCCGTCGTACCAGATGTATAGATGTAAATCAATTTGTCCCGGGCATTGCTGTAGCCGATTTGCACTATGAGAGGTCCAGGCTCAATGCTGCTGAGTTTTGAGTTAAGGTCGATCGCACCTTCCAAAATCGGTGTGTCCGTCAACTCCGACCACTGATAGAGCTCAATATCAGGTATTTTATCCTTGATGTCACGGATCGCTGCACACGATACGCTTCAATAATATTTGCAATGCAAATAAGAAAGTTTAGAAATGTTCACTCATGTAATAGAAAGTGCACTTAGAAAGTGTATTTGCAAGAGAAAATTCAATTACGGTTAATGTATTAGTCAATAATAATCATATGACTAAGAGTATGAGTATGGATATTGACATCAGTATGTGTGTTCTACTAAAATGTGCAAGATACGGAGGTCATGCAAGTCATATCAATATTGAAAAAGTTAATGATTCTTAATTGTAAACTTATGCAGTTATATAAAAACTTTAAAACGCATTAATAATTTCAATTAATCAAAAGTAATTCAGTTTTAATTTCAGTTAGGCAAAAAATGCAACCGTTTTTATTTTCACATGTTTTTCACACGTAAAAAATGAAACAATCATTATATTTCTCGTGTGATATAATTAAAAAATTTTAATATTAGTACCTACTACATAATTGCCAGAGTTGGGTAATAATTAGTAAATTAGTTAAAAGTTAAATAAAAGATGAAAAACTAATAACACTTAACTTAACTTAATTAATTTTGAACTTCAACTAGTTGTTTTTAAAACATAAAAACTTTAACTTACTAATATTTTTCTTGAGTTAAAAATATTTTCTATCTCTCTAAGCGCCAATATTTATTAAATAAAATTTTAAGCATTAGAGAATTAATTTAGTAAAAGCTCAATAATCGTAATGGGCGTGATGCTTTCAGTTCCCAAAGCTAAAATTGATAAATTTAGGTTAAATTGATAAACTTGATACATTCTATTTCACACATGATGCGCGTAATACATAATTTATTTTTTTTAACATTCGATGAATGTTAAACAACAAAGATAAATAATGCATCATGCACATCACGCATAAAATGGAATATACCTATTCTTAAATTCTGCATTCGAAAAGCACTATCATCGCTATAAAATGACCAATATTGCTGATAGCAATAATATTAGCATGCTCTTCGGAATCCCGAATGCAATCTTATTATTAGTAGGAAAATCTATACTTATTAATCAAATTAATTAAAAATCAAATATTAAAATTTGATTGTCTATATTGTAATTGTTATTCAGATTTAGATTAAAATTTGATTATGATATTGTAATTGTTATATTATTTAAATTTATAGTAATCTACTTTTACAACATTTTAATTTATAATAATATTTCTAAAAGTAACTTTTAATTTAACTTAAATTAATTTTAACTCAACTTAACTATAAATACTAAAAAACTTATAATATACTATAAATACTCAACTTAACTATAAATACTAAAAAACTTTTTTGTGCAACTTTTAGAGTAACTAAATTAATTTTCTAGTTATTAACTTTATACTTATTTACTAAATTAACTTTATGTTAATTTAGTTGAATAATATTTACTTACTCAACTCTGTGTAATATATTTTTGTACATAGCAATAAAGATAACATATTACAATGACTTTTTAAGTTAAAGCAAAATAAGCGGAAAGCTTCAAACAATGAAGCGATTTTGTATAATACAATATTATAATTCTTGTAATTATCATTTGTCCATTAATTGCAAAAACAGATTTAGTGATAATTTAATGATAATTTAATAATAATAATAATAATGTTTATATATTATAAAATTTAGTAATAATGACAGACTTAAAATGTAACTGTCCTTTTTCTAAAAATTATCTATTGATTCTTTAAATTACAAATAACCATTTACAATTTATATTGGAGACTCACCATCCTTAAATTCCGACCCAAAAATGATAGCTTTGCAGCCGGCGGCTTTAATGCTGTGCAGAAGTACGTCACGACGGAGATTTGTGTTGATTAAAGCCCCTATAAAATTAGCTTTGCTAAGACCTAACCAGGTAGCGATGTATTCAGGACGATTCTCCATAAAGACTGCTATACTGTCAGAATGAGAAAATGGCCTGGTGCGGAAATAACGTCCTATACGATTGCTGTAGTGTTCCATCTGTATGTCATTTACACATACATAAAAGATTATTATGCGCTTGTAATACTTTAAAACTAATTAATAACAAAAAAAATCTCATAACTATGTGCTTTTCTTTCTATTTGCCATTAAATTGATATTCGTAATATTCAATTTCTTAATGCTTTGCTTTCTAATCTCTTACATAATATA